AGTCTCGCTCTGTCGCCCAGGCTGGAGTGCAGTGGCGCGATCTCAGCTCACTGCAAGCTCTGCCTCCCAGGTTCACGCCATTCTCCTGCCTCGGCCTCCTGAGTAGCTGGGACTACAGGTGCCCGTCACCACACCCAGCTAATTTTTTGTATTTTTGGTAGAGACGGGATTTCATCGTGTGAACCAGGATGATCTCGATCTCCTGACCTCGTGATCCGCCCGTCTCGACCTCCCAAAGTGCTGGGATTATAGGCGTGAGCCACCGCGCCCGGCCAAAAGAAAGTTTTTAAAGTGAACCAGGAAAGAAATATGATGCGCAACATTACAGTCGGTGGCCAAACAGTTCCACAAATACTTCTCTGGGCTTTGCTCATTTTTTAAACATGACATTGTTCTTTAAAGTGAGAGAAAAATCAAAGAGAAGGCAGCAATCTCAACAATGAACCCACTTTAGTGTCTTCTAGGAAGGGCCCACTGGGGACATTTATGGAGTTTCCTTCAAGTACTGGGAATCTTTCCTATTTTCATGTTCACACTTATTTCTGGTATAATCCACATACCATACAATTCACCCATTTAAAGTGTACAATTCTGTGGATTTCAGTATATCCACAGACATGTGCAACCATCAATTTGAGAACATGTTTACCACTCATAAAGAAACCCCAGACTGCACATGGTGACTCATGTCTGTAATCCCAGCACTTTGGGAGGCTGAGATGGGAGGATCGCCTAATCACGGGAGTTGGAGACCAGCCTGGGCAACATAATGAGACCCCCATCTCTACAAAAAAAAAAAAAATTAAATTTGCCAATCATGGTGCTGCATGCCTGTGGCACCAGCTACTCGGGAGGCTGAGATGGGAGGATCACTTGAGCCCAGGAGTTGGAGGCTGCGATGAGCTGTGATCACACCACTGGACTCCAGCCTGGACAACAAGGCAAGACTGTCTCAAAAACAAAATAAATCTGCCCATATGGTTACTTAACCATCAATAAAAGGCACCAGTAATAGGTTGGTGTGAATTAATTAATGTGCAAGATGCAGCCCCTTTACCATCTGAGATTTTTTTTTTTTTTTTTTTTTAAAGTTTTTAAAGACAGCATCTCATTCTGTTGCCCAGGCTGGAGTACAGTGGTGCAATCACAGTTCACTGCAGCCTCTAGCTCTGGGACTCAAGCAATCAGCCTCCTGCCTCAACCTCCTGAGTAGCGGGGACTACAGAAACACCACCACACCTGGCTAATATTTTTATTTATTTGTAGAGTTGGGGTCTACAGGCTGGTCTCAAACTCCTGCACACTCAAGTGATCCGACAGAAGGGACCAGCAAGCTTTGCTGGCCAGGCAGTGAGTATTTTTCAGCTTTGTGGTCTAGTTGGTTTCTGCTGCACCTACTCAGTTCTGCTGATAGTAGCGCAAACGCCACTATATACATAAAGAAATGGGTGTGGTGGTGTCAATAAAACTTTATTTACAAAGACAGGCAGTGTCCCTGACTTGGGCCCCATTGGCTGTGGTTTGCTGACCCCTGCACTCAAGGCTGCTAAGTTAACAGCCCAGCACCTCCTAGGCTGTTAGAACCTCAGCCCATCACCATCATCTCCTGGGTCTCAGTTTTCTCAACTGTAAAGTGGGGTTGAAGCCACCTGCCTCACGTTTCTCCTGGGATTTTTGTAAAATAATGCACAAAAGTGCACAGAAAGCTCCAAAGGCAGTTTGCAAATAGGAAGACACAATCAAGTCTATCTGTGAAAAACATTTATTCTGAGAATCTAAAATCTGGACAAAGAATATTGGACTTTAGAAAAAGCCTACACAAAATTGTCTCATTCTTCCCTAATACATTAATAATCTAACAATAAGGAGGTGAAAAAAAAAATCCTTTAAAAATAACATAGTTCCAGTTTGTCTGCAGGTATGTGATTTAAAATATCCCTGTTCTATTGAGGTATAGGCTGCAAACTTTGGTAAAATTAGAAAAATTAACAAAACCTTTCAAAAAAAAATACAAAAACAAAAACAACAACCAAACTCTAACGTTATATCTTTCTTGGTACATATACAGTAACTACAAAAAAAATTCATTTAGAAAATGTGTTCATAGAAAAAAAACAAAACAAAAACAAAAACAAAAAAAATCCTCTTGTAAGTTCTCACTTGTCGAGTTAAAAAATTGAATTTCAATGATCTGTAAGGCTCAAACTGTTTCCAAGCACCCATCCGGTGTCAGGAAGAACTGGACGACCGTAGTTTCTAGAATCTGGTTGGCATTTTCAATAATTCAGTGCTAACAACAAAGACGATGTCGTCTTTAGAAAGAAGGAACGAACCAAAGGCACTTGGGCGTGACTTCGTGTGCTGGCATCCGTCCATGGCCGCCTTCATCGGACAGCGTCAGCACACATCTGGCCCACGTGGAGCAGAGTCCCCTTGAGGCCATTTCTGCATGGCCCCAACTCCCTGCTCTTGCGGGCAGAGGACTTTTCACGCAGATCTCAGACGCTAAGCAGTCTGGCGGGGGATGGCTTTGAGACAAAGGTTTCAACTGGGCCCGAGATGTTTCCTCTTTTCCTTGCGACAACTTCAACAGACAGCTGAGCCACGCCACGCCACGGGATGCCACGGGCCACCACGGGCCACCACGGGGAACCATCTCGCTGGACTTTAGATGACAAAATGCTGTCAGGAAGATGCTTGCTCTGACCTTGGGGGCCAGAACCCGAGAGAAGGACTGATCCCTTCGCCTTCTTCAAGAGTTGGTGGCAGCAACTTCTGAGAACTTGATACCAGAAACATCAACAGCCTCCACGCCACGTAGTTTCTGATTCCATCTTTTAAAAATCTTACACTGTTTTGTCGAGAAATTGTAGGCTTTTACGTTTTCAAAAAACTAAACACAATACTGAGAAGTCCAACTTTTAGCCAGAATACATAAATTCCTGAAAATGTATAGATTTGAAAAATAAAAAAAAATAAAAAAAAAAAAAGGAAGACAAACCTTTTTAGGGAACAGAGGAAACACTACCTGTTTAAGTTAAGCCCGCTAAGAACAAAATCAGGGCCGATGAACGAACCCTCGGACACATTTTCAGCAAAACGCCTGTGGAGAAGTGCTTGGAGATCACCGGCCATTGCCGTAGCCGGGGAAGAGCTGGTTGAGGACGGTCTGCAGAGGCTGGTTCACCTGCATGGTGTAGCTCCGGCCCAGGTCGTAGCGGCAGGCGGGGCAGCTGAACACCTGTGCCCGGAACGATCTGTCCAGGCAATCCTGTAAGACACACGGGGGCGTGAGAAGCGCCATCCACGCCATCAGGTTTGCTCCTGGCCACGTCTCCCAGCGCTGCAAGGGCAGTGGCAGTCTCACCAGGTCCAGAGGACTCCTCCTGACCTTCAGTCTCACTTTCCACCTGCCGCCCATCACCAGCCTGGCCTCCTTGGGGGCCCTCTAAGATTCCAAGCTCACCCAGCCTCCAGGCTTTTGTCCCTGCAGGTCATGCCACTTAACAGCTCGGCCCCCTGGCTCTCATCACTCACAGCTCAGCTCAAGTCACCTCCCCTATGGGGCCTTCCCTGACACCTCCCTAGAGTATCAGAGGCTGTCCCATCACGTTGCCCCATCTGCCTTCACGATGTCACCTCTCCTTCCACCTGTGGAGCCATCTTATTTATTAATGTGCTTATCTTATCTACAACAGGGCAGATGCTCCCTGAGCTTTGAGGCTGTATTCTCTCTCAACACCAAGCACAGGGTATACAGTAGATGCTTAATAAACACACACATCAGGCCGAGCATCGTGGCTCATGCCTGTAATCCCAGCACTCTGGAAGGCCGAGGGGGGCAGATCACTTGAGGTCAGGAGTTCAAGACCAGCCTGGCCAACATGGTGAAACCCCAGCTCTACTAAAAATACAAAATTTAGCCAGGCACATGACTGTAATTCCAGCTACTTGGGAGGCTGAGGCAAGAGAATGACTTGAACCCGGGAGGCGGAGCTTGCAGTGAGCTGAGATCACGCCATTGCACTCCAGCCTGGGTGACAGGGCAAGACTTCATCTCAAAGAAAAAACAAAAACAAAAAAATTAGCCGGGCGCGGCTATTCCGGAGGCTGAGGTGGGAGGATCACCTGAGCCCAGGGAGGCTGAGGCTGCAGTGAGCTGTGATCACGCCACTGCACTCCAGCCTGGGCGACAGAGCAAGACCTTGTCTCGAAAAAAATAAAAAATAAACATACACGTCAATGAGAAGAAAGGGGAAAAGGAGGAAGGAACCAAGTCCGGCAGATTCAGACTCCTAAATTCAAGCTCAACCAAGTCGTGCCTGGGGAAGAAAGCCAGGAGGAGACAGAGCTGAGAGGCCCGGAGCCTCCACTTCCCAAGCAGACAAACAGGGAAGATGCCACCGGGCTGGATGCATGCCAGGGAGGAGTGAGACACCGCACACAGGTGCGCAGATGCCTACACAGGGGACACATGTCTGCAGCATGTCGTCACACAGCTGGGCAAGGGCAGTGGCAACACAAGGGTAGAGGCCCAGTGACCACAGCACAGTCACCTGCTCCAGGCAGCCTGTGGCTTTTTTTTTTTTTTTTAAGATGGAGTCTCACTCTGATGCCCAGGCTGGAGTACAATGGCACGATCTCGGCTCACCGCAACCTCCACCTCCCAGGTTCAAGTGATTCTCCCACCTCAGCCTCCCGAGTAGTGCCTATCACCAAGAGTGGCTAATTTTGTTTTATTTTTAGTAGAGATGGGGTTTCACCATGTTGGTCAGGCTGGTCTCGAACTCCTGACCTCGGAGATCGAGACCATCCTGGCTAACACAGTGAAACCCCGTCTCTACTAAAAAAATACAAAAAAACTAGCCGGGCGTGGTGGCAGGTGCCTGTAGTCCCAGCTACTCGGGAGGCTGAGGCAGAAGAATGGCGTGAACCCGGGAGGCGGAGCTTGCAGTGAGCTAAGATCGTGCCACTGCACTCCAGCCTGGGCAACAGAGCCAGACTCCGTCTCAAAAAAAAAAAACAAAAAAACAAAAAAAACTCCTGACCTCAAGTGACCCTCCCACCTCAGCCTCCCCAAGTGCTGGGATTACAGGCATGAGCCACCGCGGCCAGCCTCAAGTTTTTCATTTAAAAAAATCAAGGTGGAAGGTCACAGCCTGTTTCCCAGAACCCCTCCAATGCTGAGCTTCCCGAGTTGAAACAGAGCAGCGAGGACAGACTGTGGGGACACAGTGACACTGGTTAGCCCCTTCCTTTACATCCTCAGCGCTTCTGCGCCTTCACACCAATGCACAGGAAAGGTGGTTTCCCAGTGTCCCCACAGTCCTTCCTACTGTCACGGGGCTCCCAGGCCTCCCTCTTCCAAGAGCCCCCCACAGCCAGCCCTCTGCCTGTGCCCACCTCCTGAGCACTTCCTTCCTGCCAGGGGCTAAGCCAGGACCTTCACGACAACCTGGCGGCCAGGACAGCATTACCAGGTCCCTTCTCACTGTGGCCAGCTGAGGCTGGGAGGGATTAGTGCCTGCACGCCTGAGAGGTGAGAGATGGCTCAGACCCGGACCACCAGCCCCAAAGACACCACAACTTCTCACCGCTTCTGCCACCTCACTCAGGGCACGCAGGGCGGCCCACACGGCTGAAAGGACTTAGTCCACAGGGCGAGGCAGGTGGGGCCAAGGAGGCAGAGATGCCATGGGCGTGACTGGGAACTCCCTGTCTCCTGACCTTCCCTGATCTGCCTCCTGGCAGGAAAGCAAACACAGGGTCCGAGACCCGGGGCTGTGGCCCATGGCTGAGAGGACTGCGGGACTGCAGTTGGCAGGGAAACCGCCGGCAACTCAGAGGCCTGGGGAGATCTGCGGGGTGGCAGGGTCAGTCCCTTCCACACCTGTCCAATGGACTGCCGGCTCTGGCCAGAGGTCACAGCAGAGAAGTCATCACCCAGACCCACACTGCCCACCGGGGCAGTTCTGCCCCCAGGGGGCACTGGGAGGTGTCTGGGGACATCTGTGGTTGTCTCGATTAGGCAGGGAGCTCCTGGCATGGCGTGGGTGGGGGCCAGGGATGCTGCTCAGCACCCTGCAGCGCTCAGGACGACTCCACCCCAGAGAATGATCTGACCCCAAGGCCCACAGCACAGAGGGGAAGAGACCCTGTCCTGGCCCCAAACCTATCTCTTTGAAAACCATCAGCGGGGGCCGGGCGCAGTGGCTCACGCCTGTAATCCCAGCACTTTGGGAGGCTGAGGCGGGTGGATCACGAGGTCAGGAGATCGAGACCATCCTGGCTAACACGGTGAAACCCCATCCCTACTACAAATACAAAAAATTAGCCTGGCGTGGTGGCGGGCGCCTGTAGTCCCAGCTACTCGGGAGGCTGAGGCAGGAGAATGGTGTGAACCCGGGAGGCGGAGCTTGCAGTGAGCAGAGACCGCAACACTGCACTCCAGCCTGGGCAACAGAGCGAAAAAAAAAAAAAACAAACACAACAACAACAACAAAAAAACCATCAGCTGGGATCATGTTTCCCTCCTAGGATCAACCACCTGTCCTGAGTCTAAAGCCCATGCCAGGCCACCGCCCCAGTGCCCAGAGCCACCACAGGCCCCAGCTGCTGGTTTCTCACCCAGGCTTTTTCACGGGCTGTCCCAGGTACCAGGGATGCTGTGTGGTAACACCATCTCCTCCAGGAAGCCTTCTTTCCTGCCCCCCAGGGGATGTGCACCTCCCTCTCCAGACCTTGGGCCAAGACGGTGGCCCATCCTCTCCCACCCTGGCCCCCTGGCCATACAAGACTGGAGGGAGAATGTTCCAGGCCTCCGTCATAATACAGGCCTCCCAGAAAGCAGTCAACAAGGCCCCGAGAAAAGCTGCAGAGTGACCGGAGCAAAGCCAGTGAGCCTCCGTCTGTAGTGGGCAGGCATGTGGGAATGGGAGGTCAGGTCATCCTTCTGGAACCTTCCACCTGGCTCCTGTGGCTGTCTCCGCTCACCTTGCACACGTTGTGCTGGCACACGGTCGTGATGGGCCGGAACACCAGCTCCTGACAGCAGATACACTGGAACGCCTCCTCCACTTTACTCAGGAACAACTGGAACTAGAGGAAAGCGGGCGTGAGGCCGGCAAAGACCCCAGGACCAGGGCTCCCAGAGGTCGGCGGCTTCCTGCTGAGCATGTACCTGGGTCCTCTAATTCTGTCCCCAGCCTTCACTCCAGGAGGCGGGGGCCATGATCGTCCCCGTTCTGAGAAAAACAGACGCCCAAAAGGCATGAGCCTCACCCGAAGTCCCCAACACCCCAAGTGGCGAGGTGGGGAGGATGGGGCGGAGCCGGTACATGGGGTGCTGGCCTCGATGATGCTGGGCAGGACCCAGATGCGACCAGCTGGCACCACCAAACACGCCCTGCACTGAGTCAAGACAGGGCTTTAGGAGAGGTTCCTGGCCGGGCGCAGCAACTCACGCCTGTCATCCCAGAACTTTGGAAGGCCAAGACAAGAGGATCGCTTGAGCCAGGTGTTCAAGACTAACCCGGCAACACAGTGAGACCCCGTCTCTACAAAAAATTTTAAAAATAGACCAGGCATGCTGGCTCGTGCCTGTAATCCCAGTACTTTGGGAGGCTGAGGTGAGCAGATCACCTAAGGTCAGGAGTTCAAGACCAGCCTGACCAACATGGTGAAATCCTGTCTCTACTAAAAATACAGGATTAGTCAGGCGTGGTGGTGAGCACCTGTAATCTCAGGTACTCGGGAGGCTGAGGCAGGAGACTCACTTGAACCTGGGAGGTGGAGAGTGCAGTGATCCAAGATCACGCCATTGTACACTCCACCCTGGGCAACGAGAGCAAAACTCCGTCTCAAAAATAATAATAAAAATAAATAAAATACATTGTAAAAATAGGTGTGGCCTGGGAGTTGGGACTTCAAGGCTACAGTGACCTGTGTCTGTGCCACTGCACTCCAGCCTGGATGACAGCGCAAGACGCTGTCTTCCTCCCCCCCCACAAAAAAAAAGGTACTCCTGAGGCATGGTCTACACTGGCACAATGCATACTGAGTACACGGGCCACCAGAAGCCCAGCTGCAGATGACTCGAAAGACACCTCCCTCCTGCTTGGAGCTAAGTGCGGGGACCAAAGAGACACAAGTGAAGGGCGGGGGCAAGGTGGTGTCCCAGCATGGCGGGGGGGGCTGGGGACAAAGCCCTGGGAAGAATGTGGCCTGAAGGAAACGGGAGTAGAGGGACCCCTGAGATGGCCTCGGCCACAGCTGAATCCTGAGACCTGCAACTACGTCACCCTCCACAGCAGAGGAGAAATGGCAGGCGGGACTGAGTGAAGCACCTGGAGCTGGGAGAGCATCCTGGGTGAGACAGGGGGCCTGATGTCACCTCGAGGTCCTCCCGAGAGAGGAGCGGGAAGGTGAGACTCAGAGCCTGGAAGAGGATGCGCTGTGGCTGTGAAGGGGGAGGAAGGGGCCACGAGCGGAGGGATGCGGCGCCTCTGGCCTTGGGAAAGGCAGGAATCTGGTTCTTCCCTGGAGCCCCCAGGAGGGCCCAGCCCTGCCCGTGCCCCGACCTTAGCCCAGCAAGGCCTCTGTCAGGCTCCCAGCCCCAGAGCTGTGAGATGCGAGTCGCTTTGCACTCCGAGGCCTGGGGTCACTTTGCAACAGCCCCGGGAGACGGAGACAGAAGGTAGGATGGCAGGGGGTGCCAGGACCGCAGAGCGGGTGCAAGTGACGGTTTCACAGGGGCAGGGTTTTAGTTTGGGGAGAGGAGAAAGTTCTGGAGGTGGCGATGGTGGTGACAGTTGCACAACCACATCAATGTGCTCAGTGCCACTGAACTGTACTGAGCTGTACACTTGAAAATGGTGAAAATGGTAAATAAGCTTCATACATTTTACCGCAATCAACACAAATCAGGGCGACGAGTGGGCTGCGCGTGCCTACCGGGCTGCCGCTCGCCGGCCGGTCCTTCAGTGACGCCAGGACCTCATTCCACAGCTTGGCATTGCTCTTGTCCTCTCTGATGAGGCTGCTCTGCTGGGCCGTGAGGCTGTAAGGCTCCACCTTGCTTTTCTTGGCTGTCCGGCGCGGGGACACGGCCCTGCTCGGGCCACCTCCTGGAAGAGGGTGGGGCGCGTGAGGGAGGGGCGCGTGGCCCAAGCTGCTGGAGACACACCCACCTGCTCCCACGTCCATACGACCCCGACCCCACACCCATGAGACACCCACCTGCTCCCACACACACAAGACGCCCACCGCACACCCACGAGATGCTCACCTGTCGACTTCCGCTTCCACTTGCCCTTGCCCGTCCTGGGGGACGTGAAGCCCCCCTCCTGCTGCTCCTCCTCCTCCCTCTTGCTGTTCTCCTTCTCTCGCTCTCGGTTGGCCAGGGCTTCCAGGTAGCCTTCTGGATACTTCAGGAGAAGGAGGGACGGGTGTGAGTCAGGCTTGGGGCCCACTGCGACCCGCCTGCTCTTCTGGCCCCCTTGCCAGGTCTGGGTTTCCAAACGCACCTGACCTGATTCCCCTGAAGAGCACAGGGTGGTCCTCCCTTATCTAGTTTTGCTGTTTCAGTGACCCAAAGTCAACTGAAAATGTTACATGGAATATTCTAGAAACAATTCCTAAGTTGTAAACTGCACACTGTTCTGAGGCGCATGATGAAATACTGCATCGTCCCGCAGGGATGTGAACCTTCCCTTTGTCCAGCGTCTCGATTCTCCTGCCTCTGCTTCCGGAGTAGCTGGGGTTACAGGTGCCTGCCACCACACCCAGTTCATTTTTGTATTTTTAGTAGAGATGGGGTTTCACCATGTTGGCCAGGCTGGTCTTGAACTCCTGACCTCAGGTGATCCACCTGCCTCAGTCATCCAAAGTGCTGGGATTACAGGCTAAATATAAAATGTTAATATTAAACATTATAATTTTTATTACATAAGCTCAGCACTCTGGGAAGCCAAGGCAGGGGGATCGCTTGAGCCCAGGAGTTTGAGACCAGCCTGGGCAACATAGCAAGATTCCCTCTTCAAAAAAATTTTAAAAAATAGCCCAGTGTGGTGGCGTGCATCTGTAGTCCCAGCTACTTAGGAGGCTGAGGCAGGAGAATCGCTTGAGCCCAGGAGTTTGAGGCTGCAGTGAGCTATGATCGCACCACGACACTCCAGCATGGACGATAGAGCGAGACCTGGTCTCAAAAATAAAAATAATGGCCCGAAAGTGCAAGAGTAGGGATGCTGGCAATTTGGATATGCTAAAGAGAAGCCAAAGATGTGAAAGACAGGTTGCGAATCTTATACTGTACCTAATTTATAGATTAAACTTAATCACCAGTCTACACGTATAGAAAAAAACATTATAAGGCCGGGCGCGGTGGCTCAAGCCTGTAATCCCAGCACTTTGGGAGGCCGAGACAGGCGGATCACGAGGTCAGGAGATCGAGACCATCCTGGCTGACACGGTGAAACCCCGTCTCTACTAAAAAATACGAAAACTTAGCCGGGCGAGGTGGCGGGCGCCTGTAGTCCCAGCTACTCGGGAGGCTGAGGCAGGAGAATGGCGTAAACCCGGGAGGTGGAGCTTGCAGTGAGCTGAGATCCGGCCACTGCACTCCAGCCTGGGCGACAGAGCGAGACTCCGTCTCAAAAAAAAAAAAAAAGAAAAAGAAAAAAAGAAAAAAACATTATATATCTACGGTTTGGTACTCTCTCTGGTTTCAGGCATGTGCTGAGGACTTTGGAAGTGTCCCCTGGTAACGGGGGTGGGGGACGCCTGTGGACTCAGCTCTTCCTTCTCTGTGGAGCCTCGACCAATGGCTAATCCTGCCTAATCGCAAAGCTTCACTACGAACAAGAGGAGACTAAGAGGAGATAATCGGCCAAGCTCCACCTGGCAGGGTTGGGGTAAGCGCATTTAATGTGAGTGAACGCTGGTGACGTGTTCAGCATCACATCCCACCAATAAGATCTCGTCTTTATGATTGACATGAAGGCAGGCAATCTTTTGCTTCTAGGGCCCCTAGGGTAAATGTTTTCAAGCCTTATGGGTCTGGACCGCAAGCGCTGAGCGCAGGCTACTTCAGTGAGTGAGCGTGACTGTTTCCTCAGAAACTTCGCTTATGAACACCTGACCCCAGGGCCTTAGTTGGCCAAATTCTGATGATTCTGAGGACTCGTGCCCTCCCTGTCCTCATAGGGCATCATCGCTCTATTTCGAAGAAACCTACAGTCACGTCTGACTCTCCAGTGTCTCGGGAAATCTTCAAGCTCCTTTCACATCTTTATGTTGCAATGGATATGAGAGTCAGAAAAAAATATATATATATCCTGGCCAGGGTCAGCAGCTCACACCTGTAATCCCAGCACTTTGGGAGGCAGAAGCAAGTGGATCACCTGAGGTCCGGAGTTCGACACTAGCCTGGCCAACATGGCAGAACCCCATCTCTACTAGAAATACAAAAATTAGCTGGGCATGGTGGTGTGCACCTGTGATCCCAGCTATGCGGGAGGCTGAGGCAGGAGAATCGCTTGAGCCTGAGAGGTGGAGGTTGCAGTGAGCCATGATCACGCCTGCACTCCAGCCTGGGTGACAGAGCAAGACTCTATCTCAAAAAAAAAAAAAAAACAGAAAAGAAAAGGCTGGGAGTGGTGGCTCATGCCTGTAATCCCAGCACTTTGGGAGGCACTGGCAGGTGGATCACCTGAGGTCAGGAGTTCAAGACCAGCCTGATCAGCAAGATGAAACTCCGTCTCTACTAAAACTACAAAAGTTAGCCGGGCGTGGTGGTGGGCACCTGTAATCCCAGCTACTCGGGAGGCTGAGGCAGGAGAATCGCCTGAACCTGGGAGGTGGAGGCTGCGGTGAGCTGAGATCTCACCACTGCACTCCAGCCTGGGCGACAGAGCGAGACTCCATCTCAAAAAAACAACCAAACAAACAAAATCCTCCTCCCAACAGAAGCTGAGGTTGTCTCTCCCATTACTATTTTTCTCTCTCGTTCCTCAGTTTCTGAAATTCCCCACTGCACAAATCCGTTCAAAAGACCACCTCAGCGACCCCTCGGGTAGACGATGTCGGGCTCTCGACAGCAATTAAGATTCCTTAAATAGTCCCACAGTTCATCTGCTGTAAAGCAGCTCCCTGCAATGGACAGAAAACACCTTGTGTTGCCAAAATGCTGCGCCGCTCTGTGAACAAGCTCTCGGCAGCTCCCACAGCCGCGGGGAGGTGAGAGATGGCTCGGGGATATTCATCCTCCCCATTTTTCCATCCGGACCTCTCTGGATTCCACCAGTTTGGTTGGTTTGTTTCTGTTTTTTTTTTTTTTTAAATGAGCCAAGAGAAGTGAAAACAGAGGACATCAGATGCCTGACTGGTCTGCAGCGATCTCTTTACCGACACAACCCAGACAAGCCAGTCTGGTTTTCAACTCCGAGACGCGGCAGGCGGAGACGCAAATGTCATCTGCGCATCCCCATCACCCCCTGGCTGGAGGATTTATATAGGGCAGCTAGGGGGGCGCCATCAGCTGGGGCCCTGGAAATCGTTCTGGATCAGAGAGAAACCAGGAAAGCATGGGCCCGAGACGGGAGGCCTCCCAGAGTGCTCAGCACGGTCCAGACCGTGAGCACCACAAGCCCAGGCCAGGCCCATTCTGTGACCCGCAATGACTATTAAAGATGACAGCCTCCGAGCGGTTCACGTGGTGCCCAGGCTGCCCGGGTGGGAAGTGCCAGAGCCATCACGGAGTCTGGCGGTGCTGTTTTTGAGACGGATTCTCACTCTGTCACCCAGGCTACAGTGCAGTGGCGCCATCTCGGATCACTGCAACCTCCACCTTCCGGGTTCAAGCAATTCTCCTGCCTCGGCCACCTCAGTAGCTGGGATTACAGGCACCCACGACCACGGCCAGCTAATTTTTGTATTTTTAGTAGAGATCAGGTTTCGCCATGTTGGCCAGACTGGTCTTGAACTCTTGACCTTAAGGGATCCATCCGCCTTGGACTCCCAAAGTGCCATCCCCCATCCCAGACGCACCTGCATGGTCAGCCCCAGCTTCTTGGTCCGGTCCTTCCCCTCCTTCGTCCAAGGGCCAGGCTCATCATCGTCCCTCCGCAGGAGGTAACGCCACACGAGAAACCCGGACTTCCCCTTCTCGGGCCAGTATTTCACCACCTGCGGGGAGCGGGCATCAGCGTCAGCTCCATCAGAGGCAGCCCCGGTGGGGACAGAGCCCCCGGCCTCCCCAAGGGGCACTCACCTTGTAGATGCCATCGTAGCGGTTGCCCTCGGCGGGGGCGTACTTGCTGTTCTTGCCACCCTTGACATTGCGCACCACCCTGACCGGCTTCCCTGACCGCCAGTCCTTGGCCTCGGCCCCTTCTTGGTCATTGATGGGAGCAAAGCAGTTGAGAGCCAGTGCCCTGTGGAGACAGTCAGGACCCCACGCATTATAGGTGAGGATGTGCCCCCCAAAAAGGAAACACAGGAGCCGGGAGTGGTGGCTCAGGCCTGTAATCCCAGCACTTTGGGAGGCAGAAGCAGGCAGATCCCAAGGTCAGGAGTTCGAGATCAGCCTGACCTACATGATGAAACCCCGTCTCCACTAAAAATACAAAAGTTAGCCAGGCGTGGT